TGAGTTATACAGCACTCAGAATCATTGCATAAAGTCATCTGTTCAAAGTAAGTGGGGAAAAACCCCGATGTCGTTCTAACTCTGAGTAAAAAAAAAAACACAACACAAACCAACCAAAAAACCCCTGAAGGCCATAAATGATATTTCAGCAAATTGCAAAAATAGTGAGAGGGAAACTCCAACAAGGGTTGCCTTGGTAAGAGGTATCTTCCTGTTCGCTGTGAAGATGTTATGAGAATGCAACATTGAAGCTTCTGTTTTTCTCTGCTAATGCTTTTTATGAAAATTTTGTTAGTTGGTGATTTTTAAGGCTTTTAATTCAAACACAGCTCTGAGGAACTTTGGTGGAGGAGATAGGTGAGTTACAGACTGACTTTTCAAGACTCATGTTTTTAAAGCAAAAAAAAAAGGCCAATTACATATAATCATTTCCTTAATAAAATGCCAGCCATAGTAAGAGAAGAGAGAGCTGAGAGTAAGGTGAAGTCTGGGTGGGCTCATTTATCTTGCACTTTGTATTTCACTACTTTTAAGATCAGCCTCCACAGAGAATTACAGAAAAGAAAAAACAAACCACCATCATTTAGTATATTAAAAAGCAAGATAGACCCTTGTCCTTTATATACAGTATATTGTTAAGCACAGATGACCACAACTTCAAACAAAGCCTGTTTGAAGTAATGTAATGTAATGTCTCCCTGCCCCACCCTCATCTTGTAAGAGGGCAGCATGGGGGCTTGCTCAGGAGCATAGAGAATCAGCACAGCCTTCTCAGTGCCTTGGCAGCTGCAGACAGCAAGGTCCTGAGATTTGTGCTATCAACCTGTTCCACTACATTAGCGACGCTTTATATTCTCTTTTCCATTATGGTGGAGTCTTGCACACTGGAACGAGGTGATTAACCCTTACACCTCAATTCCTCTAAAAAGAATAGGGCGGGGAATCAAAAAAAAAGAAAAAAGAGCACCATACAAGGAGCACTTTTAACCCACAAAAAGATGATAACTAGTTTCTAGGTTAGCTTAGGACACCTTCCCCAGTCCTGCACCCTCACCCCTGCCTTGCAGCTGCTAAGGGTTGCCATTTCCTGATCGCTGTAATCTCAATGTTAGAAGAGGAGGTCCCCACTAGTCCCTGTCTCCTCCTCAGTGCTGGCTCTGGTGGTCATGCAGCCAAGTAGTGAATCAAATCTGGGAACTGGTCTGGATGAGAACTGACTGCTTTCGATTTAGCTGTGTTAGCTTCCTGCCAGATCAGTTTCCCAAGACAGCTCACTATGTACCTGTATGATCACATGGGGCTAGCAGGAAAGGGTAATGGGATGGAAAGGAAGGGCGAAATACCTCCTTGAGCACCAGCTTAGCCTTACAGTGGATTCAACTGATTGTGGAGCTACAACTTGACAGAGATGTAAAACAAGTAAAAAGAAATTAAACTAGTTGCAACTTACCTGTTCGTTCCTGAACGCATGAAGAAGAGCATTGGCATCTTCAACAGTAAGGGGGAATGAGAGTCGTGGTCCATAATAGGAGTCTGGAACATCAATCTTCTTTTCAAATTCTGTTAAATATAAACCTTCATCCACTCCCTGAGATACACTAGGGCTGGTGAAAATGTGAGAAACTGGAACAAGAGGGAAGAAAAACAACAACGTGGAAACTCCACCAGTCACCCATAGGGCCATAATAGCATGACGAGAACTGGTTGAACTGGTTGAATGTAACTGATGCTTTACTTGCTGCAGTATTACAGTGGCTAACTCCTGCCTTGTATAGTGGAAGAGCTCCAGGTCTCCCCAGGTTGTTTCCCAATACTAAAAACAAACAAAGAAACAAAACCAAAAAAAAACAAGAAAAACCCAACCAAACTGAAAAACTAGCAAAAACTCTGTCCCAACAGCCAATACCTGCGATCAAGATGCAAAACATTTTGCACTGAAGTTGTGGAGCAATCTGCTCTCATATCTAATGAGAAACATAACCTGTTATAGACTTTCTTCTCCTTCCCCGACAAAGCAAGGAGATTCAAAAGTCATGGCTGCTCATACAATCACCATATCTGTTTAAAGTTCAATATTACACTTTTAATACAGGTTTTAAAGATTCATTTTTATTGCTTTTATTTTCTACATAACATTTTTAGACTAAATACCAGCAGGTTAGTGATTATTTTAAAAGTCATCGACAAAATCCTATTTATTCACAGTGGATAAAGCACTCCTTTCTGATACAACTAGGAGACAATACCAGCTTTTGGTTGGCTGCCATAAAACCATTGGATGAAATAAAGCAAACAAAAACATAGTGGTAAAAGTAGAGCATAGCTTCTAATTTTCCTGGAACATGGAAAAAGCAGGAGGATTGCTAATTACTTCAATATTTCTTTGACATACCCTTGAAATGTAACTGAATGAGCAGTAGATTTCAGTTTTTTCTTCTTGCAGACTGTTTTTATCAGGTATTATTCTAAAAGAGAGAACCAAACCCTAGAGGATAGTGTTCTGGCAGCTGCTGCTGCAGAGTTGCTCTTGTGAGAGGATTGTTGTAGCACTTTTTGCTGGGCTACAGGTAAGTTTTTTGTAACCTTGATTAGATGCAACTGGAAATAAAAATGTATTATTTATTGCTGGAGGAATACCTGTGGCTGTGACTCAAAACTCACAGCAGCCAAAACCGGCATGTGGCTTCAAATTATGAGATTCATAAAGGCCAGCTTGTCTTGTAACTGGATAAAATTCATATTAAAGAAATAAACAGATAAAAAATATGCTTTTATCAGCTCTGGATTAAAAAAACCCTTTTTTTTATCTGCTCTTCTGCTGTAAGCTGATTAGCACATTCAGTGTACAGCCATGTAAATGGATTAAGGCATCAAGTAACAGCAAGGTGCTCAGGGTTCACCGTTTCCAGCAAGTACAGTCTGATTTGCAGTCTTCCACCACAGTGACAGCTTTGTCCGGCCAGCTGCCAGGATGTCACCCATGGACGAAAACTGCTGGTTCCACATACCCATCATCCAAGCACATCCGCACCAAATCTTGTCCCACGTCTCATCCCAGGTCTAGCAGTGGATCTCTGGATGGCATCTGCCTCTGTGCCCTACCCCTCAGGAAGTGGGTGGCTGCAGATCATGGAGCCAGTTCCTCAGACCACCTGAAAATCCTCATTGCCTGTTCTGTCCAGAGGCTCTCCTCATCTGACATGACTCCTTCAGAGTCACCGATCTTCTCAGCATCTCAAGCCAGGGGACACCCGTCCATGCCTGCTCCTACTCCAGCTCTCCCTTCCTGCACGCAGCAGGCTACCCATCCCTTTACCTCTGAACACGAACCTGCCTTCCTCACAGCCTTGCTTCCTTTTGGCACATGCCCAGGCTGAGAAACCCAATCTCCTTCCCTGTAGGGCACATCTCTGCAAAGTACACCCCATTTTCCACTTCTGGATGAGTTGTCAAAAGCCAGTCATGGTCATTAGCTTTAGAGTGTGCTTATGTCTCCTCAAGCAGTCTTTCAGCTGCCAGAGGAGTCAGTAATGGATGCCCTAATGCAGCCTGGGGATTAGCGTGCTGGCCGACGAGTATCCCAGCTCACCACAAGCCCCAAGCAGGACCAATTCCGAAGGATTTGGCACCCCTCTCATTTTAGTAATTTTCTAGTTGAAGCTGTCAAGGCTCTTTCAGTCCATATTGAAAGACAGGGACAAAAACTCTCGACATGCCTAGTTCAGGCACCTATCTTAAGACAGAATGAAATACCCTCTGCCAGTATCTGCATCTCTCTACAGAGAGCACAGGGAATGACCTACTTTGTGCTCTGACACCAGAGGTCTCGCTCAAGCTCAGTGAGTTGAGCCTTCACTGTTAGCAGACCCCACACAACTACCCTGCAGGACAATAGCCATATTCCATATTAAATACAAAAGCCCAGAGCTACATGGAGTCAGTTCGGCCACAGAAAACCCAAGGACCTGGTTCTCCTGACAAGATCACCTCACTATGCGAGTTGTTTAAAGCAAGTCACAGACACCACTGCCAAAGATGTAATCACTATGTGGGCAACAAGGAATCAGTTCTGCAGCTCTGAAGTAAGCTGTCTGTTCTGCCACCACCTGTGCACCTTCAGACTAACCACTGTGCTACCTGAGAGCACCTCCAACCCTGAGGAGTGCTCTTACATCTGCCAGGTACTGAACCTGAGCCATCAGGTTAAAGCCAGATGGACCCTGAGCCCACTAAGAGGATGATGATTTCTATAATGCTCCAAACATTTATTCCTTCATTCTGTTCCTGGAGCTGTAAGCTGCAAGCAGCTGTGACTTAGTCCCCACTGCAAGAATCACTCTACACAAGCAGCCTTGGAAGGGTGTTAATGCTGTAAGGGAGGCATCATAGGGAGTGAAACTGCAGAAAACAGCATTTTTTTGTTCCCTTTGGAAGGCAGGCTCCAGAAGGTGTGGCTCCTGCCCTGGTGACCTTGAGAGGCACAACCTGGGGTGCCTTGGACTCCTAGTCCCACCACTTTGCCCAGGACATGTTTTCAGCATTCTCACCCTCAATGCACCCACAAAAGAGTGAGCAAATGGGTCACCTTTTGCTGGAAAAGCATTTTCCAGCTTTCTCTGATCAGAGGTCTTTCCATTGAAAGGCTGAGTAGGTATGCAGATTTTTTCAGGAAGGGAGGGAGAAAAATGTAAGGTGGAAAAGGTTTTAATTCTTACTTCCCACAAACCTTTTGAAAATAACCTTTAATCAGAAGCAGAACAAGAACAAGAAACACAGCTATATAATATCCCAACCACAACTTAAACTGCACTGACATCTTAAGCAGGATGAGAGGATAACAAAAGCTTCAGGGTACAACAGATAAACAATCACATCAAAAGCACTACTGTGTTAATGAGATGGTGGCCGCTTTCTTTCTTTGAAAAACATATTCTAAAAAAGATTAAAAAGAGGAAAGTGACAAGATGAATAGTGGAGACTGAGTGGTTTATAATGTAAGGAAAAACACAGATCACAAAATCTTCAGGTAGCTTTCTCATCACATACTGAGAACAGGCAACCTACTCTCTCGTAAGAAAATTATATACTATCTTCTTGGAGAGGGCTTTTGAACCATATGCTATCATTCTAATTTAAGTGAGTAGATACTGATAAAAAACCCACAGATAATTGTGGCTTTTAGAAAATGCTTGGGAATAGCAAAGCCAATTTGAAGCTTGTTATGTTTACACTCACTGTGGCTCACATCTTAGGACCATGATTCAGCAGAAGTGGAAGCAGTTCATTAAGAATCACTCTATTCAGCACTTAGTTTGCTTAAATCAGTGGAGCTAGCGTGGCTGCTGCAAAGATCACTTAGAGGGGAAGCAATCAAGAGCTTGAAGTAAAGAATGCACACAGACAGTAGCTGGACAAACATAACCACAAATGACACAAGAAAATACCCTAAGTTAGCTCCTTTGTATAGGTAGCCTCAGCCAGCTCTGTATTAAACATGTACCTTACAGAATCTTCCTGTTTCATTTTGGATTTTGGTATTTGTAACATGAGGTGTTTGAAAGCAGGCAAAAACAAACCAAGACAAAAATAAAGCCTTTGGAGCCATTACCAGGTCTTAACAACTTCAGTCTTAATAGATGAAAGTTTCAAGCAAGCAAGACACAGGGGAGCTTTACCATAAACCATACACTTCATCATGTGTTTCAGCCTTAACCACATCCACAACTCCCAGTATCTGCAAGACCAAGAAACCGGTTACCTGCACAGTGGTGACAAGGGGCAGCCCACAGTACCCTCTGTCCCTCCCTGTGCACCAGTGGGGAGTGAATCTCCACCTGCCCGTGAACAGCCCATGCATACAGCAGTGTGCTCCGTACCAGCCATGTTCTGAGCCCGACCAAGTCACCTGAGGCACCTCACTCACCTTTGTTCCTTCTGTCAATAGACACAGTTAATAAAGGTGGATAAATGAGATCTACAATGAGCAGCTGTAAGATTCCCTTTTAATATTATAATGAAAATAGAGATTAACACTATTTTTCCAAATCTTAGACCAAGTACTACTACTGTCTTTCCCACTCAGGTGGAAAAGCTGAACTGAGGTGCATTCTCAGCATGTAGAAGTAGATGAAGTGAGCAGTGTCTGATTGTCTTTAAGTTTGCCAATCCCTTCCCAGGAAACTAAATGACTAAAGCAGATTTTTTTTTGGCAGAATACAGTGGTAATGGAAAAAATCAAAGGAAGAACTATTGTATCATCTGCCTTGGCTTTGGAGCAAGGCTCAGACAGAATTTCTTTTTCTGCAGAGCACACAGAGCATTAGGCACTCTAAAGTATTTAAGAGAGAAAAAATGCCATTTCTAATGGTTGTCATTAGAACACTGAACCACTTAACGGTTTTGATGGTGGTTTTATCCTTTTATCAAAGTGTCTTGTGCAAATTTTAATTGGAATAACCTGTGGCTGGACCAGATGAAAGAGAAAGGACATTCTCTTGTAACTTAATAAGAAAGGGACAGTCTCCTTTTTAACTCTTCTGGGATTAGATCTATTCTCAATTTGTTCAGGGAAATCATGTTTGTTTTCTGGACTTAAGAATCACTTTCAGACTGTCCTTCTGTTGAGCTTGACCTCAAAAGTAAATTTTATCCAAGGATACCAAAATACTTCAAAAGTCAAAGGTTATTCTTTGAATAACTGGGCTTTAATTTAGATGGTTTCTAAAGATTTATCTCCAGCAGTTTAAATTTATTTCATTTTTAATCATCCATGTACAGGTACACATTTTGCAGTGAAATCTAGAACAAATTAAATTAAAAAGTGGTCCATAACTGCTTCAGGGGAAAAAAAAATAGAAAAAGAAGAGTAACCTCTTTGAAGACAACGTCTTTGATTACACCTGCCCCAAACCAACTAGACACAGTCTTTTTGGGTAATCACATCTCATAGTTTAAGAAAACACGCGTAGAAACCTGTGAAAACTGGCATCAGTAAGGCCACCATTAGAACAGCTTAAGGGCAGTAACATATAAGAAAGCACTCCGAGCACCTCTGAGTATTCTCATAAGGACAACAGGTATCTGTTCTGTCTTACATCTTGCTTCACTGAGTGGATATTGAGCAAAGTCAACACTTACAGGATAAAATTCTTATCACAGTATTTGGGAAATCAAATCTCAGCCCCAACATGTGCCACAAGCTGTAAACATCACATTGAAAATGTGATGTTTACATCACATTGAAAAAGTTTCCTCACATCCGTTTTTTCAAACAGACTCTCCATATTACTTTGATTTTTATCCTTACCTGCATCAGGATTAGTACAGTGATCCAGCATGAATGTAAAAAAGTTGGATAGCTGAGTACAGAAAAGAAAAGAACAAATACACACTGATCAGTTTAGGGGATCCAACAAGCATTAATATTCTCTTTCCTTACTCAAATACTAACAATTTCCCACTTGGGAGGATCTAAGACACTACTATATGTTCCCATAGCATCAACCTGCAATAATGACACTACTTGTGACCTACTACAAAACTGGCTTGCTCCTTTCCTTCTTTGCTGTGAATTAGCAGATTGACACTATATGAATACATACAAAGTTCTAGGGCTGTATCAATGCTGCTGACGTTTTTGGGTATAATTCATCTTGCCCACCATCCGGACTATTTCCTTAGACTCCCTTTGTAGTCAATAGAAAGATACTGCTACAATGCACTGAACTAACTCTAGAACCTGATGCTAGGATGAACACAAAGCCTTAGAAGTTCCTAATTCCCTGAACTGACCCTAAAGGAAGCCTGGGTTGACATGCTGACATGCGGATATCTCTGCTGTACATATTTTGCCTCACAGACATGGTTAAGATCACCCATAGTGGGATGACCTGCAACCCCTGCCTAACAGAGCTGTTCCGTATGTGGTCCATAACTGCTAACCTAGATATTGTTGTACAAGCAGAATGGTGTCCTGCTGCTTATATAATTTGATATATATATATGCCTACACACAACCTAGTTCATGTGTGAGGCAGGGAAGCAGTTTTATTATACAGGACGGAGCTTTGTAGGGAGAAATAACCACATATCCATTTTGTTTGTGCAACTTCAGTCCTTTAGGGATAACATAACTGCTTGTACAGGAAGAATTGAAGATTACAAACCTGTAGTTGATCTTGCTCATCAGCATATTCGATTGACTGAAAGATACTCAGAGAATAGCGGCGCCTCATCTCTATCCGGGCCATTGTAAGGCGGTACCAATTCTGGATGAGGATAGCAGCTCTAATGACTGTCAAAACAGAAAGCAATGAGGTACACATGGATGCAGTGTAATCTACAATGAAAACACACGTTACCTTTGCAGAATTTTGCAGAGAGATGACAAATTCAGTCCATTGTGCACAGTTGACATTAAGATGAAACTCTGTAAAAGGGAGACTGAAAAAGTGTTTTCTGATAATGAATACATGACGCATTTACTGTTTCTGTCTTCAGGGACAGATCCCAAACTAGCTGACTTCCTGAAGCCTGTATTGACAGAAACCTTCCCCATTTCATTGTCCTGAAGACAGTGCCCATGTAGGAAGTCAGCCATGTTCAGCTGATGGGCAGTATGTGGGTTTTGGGAAGGTGAGGGAAGGAAGAAGAGCACTTTGGCCTACCAATAAAATGTATTTCTTTACCAAGTTGCAGTAAAAAGCTTCAGACTTTGCAAGCTATAACATGAGCGTTGTGTAATGACAGAGTTTGTTACAGCCTCTTTTAACAGAAAGTTTTTGCCTGCACAGCTGTATCAGCAAGCCAGCAAAACTCAAACCTTAGGATAAAATGGTAACAAACCATATTGAAGGGCAGAATATGTTGCTTAAATAGACATTCCAAAAGGCACACAGGTATATCTTTGGCTAGCTTGGTGAACAAAGGAACAGCCACCCCAAGAATTCAATGGGACATGTCAGAAGACCATTTTGTACCATGTGCTGAATATGCATCCCACTCAGCACTTTAAGAAGTTGTGTCTACTATTGTCCCAGTCTGGAAAACGGCTGGAAACTTCACTGAAGGACAATCACCAAGACTGCAACCTAGAGTGAAGGGCCTGCAGCCTACAGGACCCAGTCATGCCACAAACAGATCACATTCCCTTGGCTGCTCAGAAAAAAGTTTATCAAGCAGAACAACATCTGGTCGCACAAAGAGGTTCTGGGGTGGGCACTGCCCTGTGGGGAGAGCTCCTCACACCTGTCAAGCAGTTAGCGCTGCATGAACAGTGGCCACCAGTGACAGCTGTGCAGGAGGACAGCAGCTCCAGGAGCTAATGTCCACTTGATCCCTTCCCACCACTCTGACAATTCCCCCTGCTACTCCTGGTACCCAAAGGGTAGCAGCTGTCAGGAGCCAGGGGGTGAAATGTAGGTGGCAGTAGCACTGCCAGCAGGAAGACAAGAGGAAAGGCAGGCAGGCCTCAGCATTACAGGTGATCGCTGCAGCTCTGATAAACCTGAAGGAAGGAGTGAAAGCAGAAGGCTGGGGGGGCTGTGCTCAGCCTGAAATAATTGTGATCTTGGGAGAGGAGGAACAGATGAGCTGAGCAGTAACTTCTGCTGTTTCATAGAGCTGTGACTCTCCAGTGCTTTACGGGTGCTTATCCAGAAAGATCAACATACTTTCAGAAAAGCATTCCTTGGTCACTTGTTAACTGCTTTTTTTTTTTTTTTTTAAGATCAGCTAAAGAGGAATAAATGCACATTTCAGATACTTAGGGCATATGTGAGTATGGATTTATCATCCAGAGAAGGACACCATTCACCATACAAAATAGAACAAAATGCAGCTACTGCCTTGAAGACTGAGCAGCTGAAATAATGGCAAATTCAAATCTAGTTGTTTGCTTAAATTATACTCAGAATAGGACTCTGTATGAACATGCTTAGCCCTAGAGAGCACTAACAGGGGCAGTCAAGAGGCATTACATTTGTCACTGTGTAACAGCGAGAGGAAGACAGAGTGCAGGGGTATTGGATCCTGCACCTGTCCCAATGCTACCACGTTGCCACTACCATATTCTTGTCTGGCAACAAAAAATAGAGTAAGGTAGGAGGCTGCTCTCAAGAGATGTCACATTTACTCACTTATAGTTGAACATAATTCTTTCTTGACTTGTTGCTTACTCCTTTACCCCTACCTCTTTTTCCCTGTACTCTCAACAGGATACCAGTAAATAAGTAGACAGGACCAGAAATGCCCAGCCTTTACCTCCAGTCCTGCAGCTAACATCTCACTTCAAGGAGTTTCCTAAGTAACTCAACCCTGAATAGCTCAGCATAGGACACAGAAAAAAGTTTCTTTGCTTCTGATCTTGAAGGAACAAGTCAAAGCAGCTGCAGGGCAACTCTACTGAAGGTACAAGAACCAAAAGAATACACTGATCTTAGCTCCTGACACTCCCAAGATCTAGAGTTCATTTTTGAGCAGATGAAGAGATGACCAGGAGAAGCACAGAAATAAAATTCTGCCATTGTCCTGAATTCCAGAGTTTGACACAATCACCACTGTACAGCACTGCAAAATCATGAAAAAGAAAGGAGGAAACTCAAACCAACCCTAATGTCTTAACACGAATATGCTTCTATGTTATTACAGTTGCCAAAATGAACAGTTGATACTGAAAAACAAAACAAAACAAGAAATAACAACCAACAATTCATACTAATGCTTTTTCTCTCTGCAAAGTAGCACAGAAAAGCTCTGTATTAGAGGGACAACAGTTTACACCAGTCAACTATTTTAGCTGATCACAAATACCAGGAATTTTGAGACTAGGATGAGTGGCACCCCTGAGTGAGATAGATCTCTTTCTTGAACTGACAGTTATGCAGGTAAAGAAAAACCTCCATGGAAGAGTGATTCTATTAATAAATGTAGAGTGTTAAGGAAGTTTTTTAATAAAAGTGCTTACAGGTGCCATAATAGCACATTGTTTGCTTATTTTACCGTTAATAAGTATACAGTATAGTTAAAGTGGTAAAGTTTTCTAGTCTAGACAAGGCCAAAATCAGTAAAGACTCTCATCCTACAGATGTCACATCCATCCTTGAAAAATTCTCCTGCCTGAAGGAAATGTAATCCTTATATGACTAAGAGCATCCTTCCTACCCTAGATAAACTCTGAGATCTCTGCCCTTTCTGGAATTCACCACCACCACAGACCTGAAAGTCTGACACATCACAGCAAGGCTGTTGTCAACTTTTCTGTTTAGAAGAGTACCTAAGGGGCAAAGCACAGCCACCAACACAGAAACTGATTTCCAGCATCAGAACCATTAAACTTCCCATTAGAGCTCCCACGGGTTACTTAATGGTCCTGAGCACTTAACATGGCACAGTTCCACTGGTATCACATAAGACGGATATATATCGACCACTATGGTTAATGTTGCAAATCTAACAGAATATTTCCTGTCATTCTTTTTAATTGTACTTATTACAGCACTGTTATACTCAGAATACAATTTTCACACTACGCTAAACTGCATCTGTAAATGAAATTGTTATCAGTTGCAGAAGGTCTCTACACCAGCAAGTACCTGTTAAATTCATGTTATTAATGCATTAGAGAGATGTACAGCCTCAGGCTGCAGATAGAATGATGGTTCAGCATCATTTGACTACTGCTGAAGTGTGGAAACAATACCATCCAACAACTGGAGAGAACAAAACATTGTCAAATAAGCACACAAAATCATAAGCTGGCTTTGCAGTAGCAAATCCTGGCTCCACAGCAATGCATATTGATGGTTGTAGACTGAGAATACAGCTCCTCATGCCCACTCCAAGCTTTTGCACCCTCAGAAACGTTCCCATCTAACCCATCTCTGAGGTCTTGCAAGGCACATATATGGATAGCATGCAAACCCAAAGAGGAAGGACTGCTTCCCAGTTTCGGGTAGGTCTGGGACCCCAGATGTTTCTGTTCTACTTCCACTGCTGTGTTACAGCACTGATGTTGCTGTGACAGCCAAGGAGTGTACACAAAGCTGAGTGCTACTCTTAAACCAGTCTGCTTGGATCCCTGTAGCCATGACTAAGTTGCTCCTGCTCCTTAGTCACCAGTTTCCTGTGCCTTGTGTCCTGGCTTGGTAGGCAAAAAGAGCCTTACTTTTCAACTATGGTTGGTCAGTATAATAATCTTCTAAGACTATGCACAGTGCCACATAACATGGCTCTCAGCAGACCTGTAAATTGTGCTTTAACGACAAACCTTGAAAGAGAACACAAATGGTGTGAGCAAAGGTCTGAGCCAATCCTGGAACCCACCTGTGCACCCCCGCCTGTGCAAAGACTGGTGTGTTCATCCCAGGGTGTGGTATGATTAAAGCAGGGAGATGATGCACTAGTTTTCTAATTGAACATTTAACCAGGTACTGTGAAGATTTTCAACTGACAGCCTCAGTGACTGTCAGAGAGAATTTCAGGCCAGGCACTTGGTATGGCAGAAAATGGATTCTGAGAGTCATTGTAATAGCTCTGCTTTATTACACTTGTTTCATGATTGAGGTCACCAAACAACAGGGAAATTGGAACAGTTTGCCCAAGAATCATATGTTGTGCGAGGCCATAAAAGGTCCCCTCAGTACCTTACCCCACACGCTTTGCTAGTGACAGGGCAAGCATAGACACATCTGAAATTCAGCTGCTGTCCCCGATGCTGTGAATCTTTTCCAGCCCAATCTGTAGATGTTAGAGGTGGTCTACAGTTGCCTTCTGACCTCAGCCAGCATCTAAAAGCTATGCACTCTTTTAAAAAGAGGATAATTAGAAAATAATTTTCTCTGAACAAGTATTTCGACAACAGGACTGGGGGGAAACATTACCTTGCAATCCTCCTCTGATGTTACAGAGAGAATGACCACCAGCCCTGAAGACAAAGGCAGCACTCACCTTTCTCTGACCTTCTGTCAGCTACAGAACTGCTGCACCCCATGGTTCCAATGATGCTGCCCATCAGTTTTAATTGCTGTTGATAGAAAGCATGTTTCTCTCAGCTGTTAGCGTTACACACATTTCCTGTGTTCTGTCTTCAGCACTGAGGATTATACCCCTCTGGAGTCCTGTGCTCTTCCTGGCACTCCTAACAGGGAGAGGATTGGGAGGGAGGGAGGGAGAGAGAGAAAAAAAAGAAAGTGTTTGACAACACAGAATCTAAAGTACCTACAGCTCATAAAAAAATTACTGTATAGCACATCCTACACAAACTGGACCTGATGAACCATGCTAGATTTCTTTTTCACAACTGATCACTTATCAGCTTGCATTCAAGACCCACAAACTCAGTAATTAATACAGTTTACTTTTTACATGTTAGCTGAAAGTTCAAGTGCACCAGTGATTTCTTAATCTGAAGCATAGCTATTTGAAGCCTTACTACTAGGGACAAAGGGACTACAGAGGCATGTTACTCTTCATTCTTGTGATTTGAAAACTGGAACTGCATAATTGTAAAGACTTCAGATTACATCTGATACTATTGCTAAAAAAAAACCACCAAACCTCAGCCCTCCTAACACTATTGATTTGAAAATGTGCCCTACCACCCCATTTATCACTGTATGCCTCAGTGTCACCACCATCAAATTTACAGGGAGAAACAGTGCCATAGCAAATTGCTTCCTTATCAGATTTCATTTAAATAAAATATCCAATTTTCTGTTGCATTTCTACTGAAACATTCTAAATAAAAGATTTGGTTTCATTAAAAAAATGAACAAAGTACCTTTTACAGTGTGGCCTTTGGGTTTTTCTCCTGGCACTTGCTCATCTCTTCACTAACTGGTATCATTCACTAATGCAATATACTTCCTAATCAACAAGTTCAAATGTTCAATTTTCCCTGAGATACAAAATGGCTCAATTTCTAAGTAACAAGAAACTTACTGATGCTCTTAGAGAGACTGAACTTTGTTTTAGCTAAAGATTTCTTATATGATCACACTGACCCTTCTCACTCCTTGTCTCCAGGGATACGTGTTTCTCTCTAGCATGTCTGACACATCTAAGTTATTGCATTTGCTGTTTTGGTTCATTTATATTCCTTTTCTTTTAACTTGAATTTTAAAGCAAAGAAGAAATTCTTCAGCATGAAATGAATGCTTAACTACTTTTCCTTCGGCTTTACTAGCAGAAGTAAAAATAACAGGAGGATAAGAGAGAGAGGAAAACACAAATGGGTAACTAGCCTATTTTAAATTTCAATAGTTAGAATACATTTATTGTTGTGGGACTGTTTACAGTTTATATATAATGTTATGTTATGTTAAGCTATGCTATGTTATGTTATGTTATGTTATGTTAATATTGCACAACTGTTTACAGTTGTTGGACTTTTTTCAGGGTCCCACAACACAACGGTATCCCACACTTGAGCTGGGTCTGCCTCCTTTTGAGTCAGTATTTATTTCAGGAAAGAAGGTTTATAGGGTTTTTTCCCCACAATACCCTGCTTTTCTTCCCTCTGAAGAAGATACCATGAAATCCAAACAAGTGCTGTTACAATAATGTTGAGCCAATCAATGGCTTTGACAGCATAAAATACAGCACTGATATTGCTAATAGCTCAAATTTGTCTTATCTCCAAACAATTGTTGTTTTCCTGGACACCATCTCCTCACTTGCCCTCTTAGAAAAATCTCAAGTCGTCATTAGTCCATCCAAACCATCCAGCCACAACTTGAATTGTGATGTGAAGACTAGGACCAAGAGCAAAATAGCGCTTACCATCTAAGTCCTATTGCAGCAAGACTATCTCCATTAAAGGGCAGGTCAGCATGAGCCCAGCAACTGGCCATTGGAAGCCAGAAACAGAATCATCTCGCCTCTCAAGACTCCACCTAAGCCATAGCAAACAATGGGCTCACCCAAGAAACAGGGATCTGAATCACTATCTCACCCTACTTCCATTGACTTAAGTTTTTCTCCCAGTCATTCCCACTCTTCCCTCCACCTACTTCTAAATTTGTGGACTTCTAGCACTTCCTTGAACAAAGAAATAAAAAAAGATAGAGACATAGGGACAGAAAATTTATGGTGATAGCAGTAAATGAAGCCTGAAACATACACTCAAAGATTGGAGGAAAACTTGCACAAATATATCCTATCATTAAACCTCTTGAAAAGGCCAAATCTGGCCATCAAAGAGTTAGTCCAGGGGAGTAATCATCACCTTCAGTCCCAAATACCTGCATCCTAAAAAGGTTATAGCGAACATTTAAACTACTACTCTATTTCCTGATGGCTTTGGTGGTGGCTACAGAGCGACTCTGGCTGCCAACCTGCATATCCAGACTTCAGACCAGCCACATCTACTGAAGACTCCAGCAAGCACAGTCTCCACCCAGGCCCAGCAAATTCACTTTCTGCCCTTCTTGTCTGATTAAAGAATCATGAACAAGTGGAATGGAAGCTCCAAAGAAAGAAATCTCTCCCCTCCAGCCCCCCAGGTATGCTGGTTCAAGCCAACTCCTGCTCCATGGCAAACCCTGCCTTCCTGGGCAAAGGCATAGAAAAATACCAGGCAAAGGCCATGAAGACCTTCCATGGGGACAAAGGTTGAAACCCAAGCATTTAAAACATTAGAATAATTTCTGTGAGCTACTTACTATGCAGTGTAGCAATGTCTGGTGAAGAATCGTTTGCTGTTACAAAATTCCCCCAAATGTCGGCTGATGAAACAGAAAGCCGGACTTTTACCAAGGCATTGAAAAAGGCTTCAGAGATACAAGATAGCTGGATGCGAATTTGGGACGTAATGCTGTGTTAGCATTCTGGATACTATACCACTGATTTACCCTTAAGAGAAAATCTGTCATGTTCACTAAAAAGCAGGCAGTAATTCAATTTCTACAGACCAGTGATCTGTCCCATTTTTAGATATAACTCCAAGAAATTGCTACATTTCTTTCAGTTCAGCAAAAAAGGCAATTTTGTGATGGACAGGCACTGAATACACAGTCCATCCACTGAAGCAAAATAAAATGTCATTCCAACCAGGCCAATAGACACGCACCAAGCTAAGCCGGAGTGGCACATGCTGCTCTTTTTCTGGATAGGAGTCACTGAAGGTAACACTACAGCAAGTGCTCAGAAATTTAGGTTTCAGAACCTGAGCTGTCAAGAGCCTGATTTACAGAGATAATGAATCAGCACCATTTGATCCGGACGTAATAGGTGCTGCCCAAAATCAATCACGCCTCCAGTTTGTCAGTCACGTAAAGACCAGGCTGCCTCAAGAATAATGGAAATCTTGTAAAGATTTATAGCTGACTTTTAATGAAATCAGGCTGCAGGTCCTTTGGGCAGCCAGCCATCCTTTCAAGCATACCTTATCTTTTAAAATTAGATGAGCTGTGCTACTGGCAGACAAGTGTAAGCTAGGTCAAGTCTGAGGATATGGAAGCCATATGAATAAGAGCTACTAGGCTTTAACTTCTTAATCCGGCTTTGTCCCATTTGTTTCTTACCTTTGATAAACAAAGAATGAAAGGCTTCTCCCTCTATTTTTGTTGGGATGGGATTTCCACAATTATGCTACCTCCCCTAGAAGTTGTTTCAATGGCTATCTCCAGCAATGTTCCTCCTTTTCCTACTCGCCCCTTTCTCAATTGTATTTGTGAACAAATAGTTACAATCTCCTCCCATAACATGTCTTAGAAGGTACGTGTGGTTGGAGAGGTAATGAGAGAGGGACAGTTTTCTCCGTAAAGATCAGATGGATGGATGGGTGGATGCTTCCAATGATAGGGGCTTTCCTTTGATGTCCTTTCTTGCTGTCAATTTTTAAATTTTTGTGACTCACAGACTTTCTTTTCAGTTGTTTTCCTTTGGAAATGAGGACTGCAGAGAAGTGAGAAACAGATGCTATAACAGGAGTTTATGATGGATTTGCTTCTGTGCATTGCTGACGGAATGACACAGGAAAGAGCAAAATAGCCTCGAGAAGAGAACCCAGACCCCCAGGTTAGCACCTGTGGAGGGACAACTCTTCAAAGCTGTCTTGTTGCCAGAGTTAAGATTGTCAAGGATGGGAATCTAGAGATGAGTTAAAGATTTCATTAGCTAAATGACCCACCAGGCAGAAAGTGGGATGAAGCAGCCACAGTCAACTAACAAAGTGAAAGAGAACCTGGCTATGGCACACAAGAGCTGTCATTTTGACACCAATGCTGAATTTGGTCTACCAAGGGGCTGATACAAGAACATCAAACATAGGCAAAGCAGTATGTGTTTAGGTCTCTGTTATTTTACATCCATGGGACAAACTGACGTTTATATTTAGTGTCCTTCAGTGATTATATATGTGAAAGAAAGAAATGAGAAAGCCTTTTTGCTTACTGATAATTTCTTCAGCCTGCTCAGAGAAGCATGGCTAAGCTCAATATAGAATTGACGGAATCATTTCTAGCAATGGCTGTGTTGATAGATCTCAGTGTTTGGGCCAGGAATCAATAGGGAATGGATGTAGTAAGATACCTGGAAGACAGTAAAGCCTGAAAGTGTAGAGGATGAAGATGGACCAGCTCATTAAGGTGGACTCATATTCCTGAGCACAAAAATATACTGCAAAAAGAAATCAAAGTAAGAACTGCAAAGGTGTGAACAGGCAGAGATTGTTCAAGCAATCATTGAATTCAGGAACTGTATGCAAATCCAAATTGGATCTGTAGAAAAATGATAGGAAAAAGCCAGTTCATGTTATTTACAATCAATAAAGGACACAAAACTTTTACACTTTTTTTTTTTTTGTGCAGAAAATAAACAAAAAAAGCAAGTAGTCTCATTGTTTGTGCAGCAAGACTTTGGGGAGAATGTTTTTAAAAAAGAGGGGGAGTAGCAAATACAAGTGCACAAATGGGGTGCAGATCACCTTGAAGTATACGCAAAGCCATCATATCACTTTCCAGAAAGGTTAAACGCCTCTAGGGGGAGATTCCTTCAGGAAGCAAGGAGAAA